TGGTACAGGCAGAGGATTGAAATGGTGGTGTATATAATTACAGAGTGTACAGGAATCTAATGTGATATTTCGCTATGAAAATTTAAGGAATAGTCACTGTCTACAAAGTAACAGTCAAAGGCCTCACTATTCTACATGTGCAGAGTTCAAGGGTCAGGATGTAGAAAATAAAGAGGACCAATTGCTATGAACAAAATCACATGATAAAAGTGAAAAAAGAATATTTTTTATCAGTTCTTAAAAGTATCAAGTTTCTAGAAACACAACAACTGAACATGTGAAAACTGGAAAATCTATAATTTTCAAGTAAGGAAAATCACACAATCAGATCATACAAAGTGTCTAACCTTTGGGCATTATGACAAGATACTTTTGAAGTTCATTCTTGAGCAACATTCATCCAGTCCAAAAGAAAAATCACACACATACACACACACACACACACTGATATAATTTTCAAGTAAGTTTATTTTTTTTGTCTCGGGGCACATATTTTCCAATGAAAATGGGTGAAACGCACTTGCAAATGAATGAAAGAGCAAAAATATGAATAGAAGAGCCTTTCAGTTATTCATAAGTGAATTCATAAGTGATAAAGTCTGTCTGTCATAGCTTTCGTTTCACCCTAACTTCAAGGGTATTCTATTCATTACTATGATGAATATGTTTCAATTTATTTATTTATTAAAGATTTCTGTCACTTCCCCACCACCGCCTCCCATTTCCCTTCCCCTCCCCCAATCAAGTCCCCCTCCCTCATCAGCCCAAAGAGCAATCAGGGTTCCCTGCCCTGTGGGAAGTCCAAGGACCACCCACCTCAATCCAGGTCTAGTAAGGTGAGCATTCAAACTGCCTAGGCTCCCACAAAGCCAATACGTGCAGTAGGATCAAAGAACCCATTGCTATTGTTCTTGGGCTGGAGAGATGGCATTAAAGGTTCGGCTCACAACCAAAAATATGATGAATATGTTAAATAGAGGAAAATGAACTGTTGCCTCAGTAGGGTCATGTTGTTCTTGCTCCATATACAGGATGCACACATAGAATGACCTGGAAAGGACTGATGTTTATTTTTTCACTTAATCATTGAGCATAGACTGTGTACTGACTGATGCCTATTATAATAAAGGTCTGAACATTTGTCAGTAAAGGTAACTG